CATTCTGATTGGGACACAAGCAATGCCTAGAAAATTCTCTTAAATGCGCCATAAACTATATACAATTTTGTAATCATTCTANTAGTGCTGTGGCACTGCAATCTTTGGTTATATCTTGGGCTAATCCAATATTTTTTTGTTGATATATGTTTTTTAGCTGGCAGCACTGGCACTTTTGTGTGGTGTTTTTCTGAGGGCTATGTGTCATGCTGAATCGAACGTTTTTGATACTAGATTTAACTTCTAAAGTATAATTTTTTTTGTTTTTATATTTTTCAATATATTTATTTTGTTTGTACAAAATAAGGAAATAATTTTTAATGATACAGTAGCCACGATTATTTTAAAAGGTTTACGTTAGGCTTAACATCTACGAAAATTGAACGTGAAGCGACACGCAACGGAGAAAAATTTCAACACGGGATAGGTTAATATATTTTTACGTACATAATCGGTTATCCGAAAAATAAGTTATCCGAACAACCCCAGTCCCCAATTGATTCGGATAAATGACGCTCTACTGTAGTCAAAGTCTGGCCTGTAGGAATAGAAATTACACTTGGTCCAGTAAATTTTTAATGATATAATACTGATAGGAATTTAATTTGTTAACCCCATAAAATATGATAAATAAGCAAAATTTACGCTTTCTAATGTTTTTCTTGCACAATGAACATGAATAAGCACAATATTGTAAAAATATAAACACAAAAACAAATATTCAAGAAACACATTTAATTTTCTCTCAGTGAACATTAAAATCTTTGATGTGACGTAATTTAGTTTAATTGAAAATTTTTCAATAATTTTAACATTAATGTTATTTATACATTTAATTCATACATGTGTATATATACTGTATGTCATTCGCTATTTTTATTTGTATTTGACCTACAAATTTGTATTTGACCTACAAATGCAAGATTTGTGATAAGTCGTTCGCTAGTAAACAGGGTTTAAGTTATCATATCAGAATCCACACAGGAGAGTGTGTTGGATTTTGGAGTACCACCATGTTGGCTAGCGTTTTGCCATGCCTCGGAACTGCCAGAACACATATAGACAGCTGACTTTGGTACTTCTGGTGTTCACAGATCTTTGGTTACTTTGCTCATCATTTTCATAGACTTCCTTCTCAACATGCATCCCGGAATATCATGTTGGACTTTCTCCACACATTTACAAGAAATAAATGTAATTAAAGTACTTTTATTTCTTTATTTTTATTACGAAAATTCTTTTTCGTTGCCTGTGACGCCATGTTGAGTTCTGTCAATGTTAAGCCTAATGAAAATTACATGTTTTTTTAAAAAAAATAATCGTGGCTGTTTTATCGTCCGAAATAATTTTTTTTTATTTTTCACAAACAAAATAGATATATTCATAAATATAAAAACAAAAAAATTATATTTTGAAAGTTTGTTTTAATATAAAAATTATGACGCGTAGCGACGTCTAGTATCAAAAACGTTCGATGCTTAAATATGGATAAATGGTTGAAAAGAAAAGTTATGAGTGTAGATGCAAAAGATCTTGCTGAGGCGGGAAGCAGTAAAAAAGCAGAAATAGAACCTGCATCGGGACCAGCTCATAAAAAAAGAGAACGTATAATTATACTAATATTATAAAGAGGTAATGTTTGTAAGTTTGTATGCAGTAGGTAATCTCCGAAACTACTCATCCGATTTCAAAAATTCTTTCACCAATATTTAGAATGGAACTTCAGGGTGGACATAGGCTGTATATTATTCCGTTAAACATTCATATAAATTAAAAGATATAATCTAGGTTAAGGCTTTTATGTCCAACAGATGGCGCTACGAGTACGACGCCCTAAGTTTGCTTTTCTGTGAGGCATTATGNATATATTCATAAATATAAAAACAAAAAAATTATATTTTGAAAGTTTGTTTTAACATAAAAATTATGACGCGTAGCGACGTCTAGTATCAAAAACGTTCGATGCTTAAATATGGATAAATGGTTGAAAAGAAAAGTTATGAGTGTAGATGCAAAAGATCTTGCTGAGGCGGGAAGCAGTAAAAAAGCAGAAATAGAACCTGCATCGGGACCAGCTCATAAAAAAAGAGAACGTATAATTATACTAATATTATAAAGAGGTAATGTTTGTAAGTTTGTATGCAGTAGGTAATCTCCGAAACTACTCATCCGATTTCAAAAATTCTTTCACCAATATTTAGAATGGAACTTCAGGGTGGACATAGGCTGTATATTATTCCGTTAAACATTCATATAAATTAAAAGATATAATCTAGGTTAAGGCTTTTATGTCCAACAGATGGCNTTGTGATAAGTCGTTCGCTAGTAAACAGGGTTTAAGTTATCATATCAAAATCCACACAAGAGTGTGTGTTGGATTTTGGAGTACCACCATGTTGGCTAGCGTTTTGCCATGCCTCGGAACTGCCAGAACACATATAGACAGCTGACTTTGGTACTTCTGGTGTTCACAGACTTTTGGTTACTTTGCTCGTCATTTTCATAGACTTCCTTCTCAACATGCATCCCGGACTATCATGTTGGACTTTCTCCACACATTTACAAGAAAGAATATCTGTAAGTACCCCTGTACCTTTATTTTTCTCCATTGCTCTGTCAATGTTCAGTGCAGTAGTACTACACTAGTGCGTCGTACCTGTGTCTGTTCACCAGTGCGTCAGCCAAGTTATTCCCTCTGTTTACAGCAGTGATTCTCAAAGTGGGGGTCGCGAAAAATATTTTGGGGGGGTCGCAGAAAAATTTATGATAGATCAATTTTTTTCAAATATTTTATAAATTTACTGTAGATTAATGTTTAGAAATACTGTAATAGAAATCAAAAATATATAAAATAATTTTTACTTGAAAAATTGCGCATATAAATAATAAAAACAATACGAATATTTTAATATGATCCTGAATATAACTCAAAAAGTTGTGCGCTATTGGGGAATCCCCGAGTTTCCACTCCCTACCTAAACTATGATAGAACAGCGTTCGCTAGCAGCGCTGCGTTTGTACGCTTATCGAGTTAGAAATATTTACATTCGAAACAAAAGGGCCCACTAACTAAACATTTCCATAGTATTTTATTGTTAATAATATATCAAAATAAATGTAAAGTACTTTTATAAATTCTTTATTTTTATTACGAAAATTCTTTTTCGTTGCCTGTGACGCCATGTTGAATTCTGTCGATGTTAAGCCTAACGAAAATTACACGTTTTTTTTTTTTAAAATAATCGTGGCTGTTTTATCGTTCGAAATAATTTTTTTTATTTTTCACAAACAAAATAGATAAATATAAAAACAAAAAAGTTATATTTTGAAAGTTTGTTTTAATATAAAAATTATGAAGCATAGCGACATCTAGTATCAAAAACGTTCGATGCTTAATAAATATGAATAAATGGTTGAAAAGGAAAGATATGAGTGTAGATGCAAAAGATCTTGCTGAAGCGGGAAGCAGTAAAAAAGCAGAAATAGAACCTTCATCGGGACCAGCTCATAAAAAAATAGAACGTATAATGAATCATATTTACAATATGGATTTACATTTTCTGCTGGTACGCGTGACGAACAACTACCTTTATGCTTATTATGCAATGATATTTTGGCGGCTGAAAGCGTGAAGCCTTCAAAATTACTAAGGCATTTCAACACGAAACATACTGCATTCAAAAAAACCTATAGAATATTTTCAAAGTTTATTAAAGTCATCAAATCAAAGCAAATCTTTGTTAGAAAAGTATGCTTTTACTCAGGAAAAATATCTTTTAGCATCTTACCAAGCATCATATCTAATGGCAAAGGCTAAAAAACCATATACAATTGGGGAAGAACTTGTTTTACCTACTGCAGTACAAATTACAGAAACTGTTTGTGGAAAAAAGTATGCGGATAAATTGCGGAAAATTTCTCTTTTTAATGATACAGTTACTAGAAGGATTTCAGAAATTAGCTGTGATCGGTTTTGGCAACTTATACAAAGAATTAAAGAAAGTCCGAAATTTGCAATTTGGCTGGATGAATCGACAGATATTACAAGTTTAGCTCAACTCTTGGTCTATGTTCGATATAGCTGCGCCTGTAATATACGTGAAGATTTACTGTTTTGTCGGCCAATGAACAATCGTACAATGGGCAAAGATATTTTTTTACAAGTTAATGATTTTTTCAAGAAAGAAGGATTAGACTGAGATAACTATATTGGTGTATGTTCTGACAGTGCAGCAGCGATGAAGGGACAGCGCATCGGATTTCTAGCAAAAGTTAAATCTACAGTCGACCCCCCTATAAGATAGAGATACGTTCCATTCTCTAGGAATCCGCTTTCTTACGAATCCTTCCAATCACAACCCGACACGTATCAAGTTTACGGACTACGGCTGTTTGAAAGATTTTCTTCCATAAAATTAATCGATTCTAGACTAATCCGACTCAACATTTCCAAAATACGTATATATTTTTTGGGAATAATCTGTATAAACTACGCTATAAACAAAAAATTGTAGGATTACTTACCGAGTGTCACCATTCGACATTGCCATCGCTCAACATTGTTTTCGTCGCGGAACAGCTCAGCAAAGAGCGGCCGATTTCTAACAACTTATTTTTCTGTGAAAACTTCGTAGAACTTCGGAGACATCATTAATATAAATAATTTTAATCGCCGTTGAATAAGAAATGTTTCTTTCACAAGAAATGTATAAAATTACAGTACTGTATTAGACTTACGGTACCTAATTTACATACTGACAGACGATAGTTAGCGTAAAAATCTCCGTAGCGTGGCGCCACGCTAGACGGCGGAAATTATATATTTAATTATAACAAAGTTACAATAAGTTAATATATAATTATATATACAGTACCTAATTTATATATAATTTATATAATACTGTCCAGACGATAGAAATCTCTCCGTAGCGTGGCGCTACGGACGGCGGGAAAGTAGTTCGGCTTCCCGATGATGTTTGAGGTGTTTATAGGGAACTTTTACTATTTTTTACGGATACCGGTAGCAATTTTTTCGTAGTTTTATAGGAATCGTAACTATAGGGACCGTAATTATAGGGGGGTCGACTGTATTACAAATGGCCATATTATTCTTACTCATTGCATCATTTGTCGAGAAGCATTAGTAGCTAAAAAAATATCATCAGATCTTAATGTGGTCTTAAATGATGCCATACATATTATAAATTTCATAAAATGTTGTGCACTTAATAGTCGTTTGTTTGCAAATTTATGTAAGGATATGGGAGTGGATTACGAACAACTTTTACTACATACAGAAGTAAGGTGGTTGTCAAAGGGATGAGCCTTAAAACAACTAATAGGGTTGAAAAATGAAATAATGATATTTTTATCAGAAACAAAGTCTGATTTTTCTAATTTCTTCCACAATGAAACTTGGGTTTGCAAATTGTGTTATTTGTCAAACATATTCGAGAAACTCAATGAACTGAATATGTCTCTACAAGGTGAGAACACGAACATATTAATTTTGTATGATAAAGTTCATGCATTTATGAAGAAGATAAACTTATGGAAATCAAGTGTGGAAAATGGCATGTTTGTAATGTTTTCAAGTACATATGATTTTATCACAGAAAATAATTTGGATAATATTTTAATTAAGAAAATCATAATTGATCATTTGTCATGTATGGAAGAACAATTTGAGAAATACTTTTTATCAGATTTAAATACTGAACAGTTTATCTGGGTGCAAAAACCATTCCTTGTAGAAATGGAACAAGTGAAACATCTCCCATTAAGTGCCCAAGAAGAATTTGCTGAATTTAGTTGTAATACAAAACTTAAAACTGAGTTTAGTAAGCAAACATTGAATTCTTTTTGGCTTAGTGTGAAAGCAGAGTATCCACTACTCTCTGAATTAGCAATGGCAGTTCTCTTACCATTTGCAATCACTTATTTGTGCGAAATGGCATTTTCAGTAATGACCAACATCAAAACAAAGCAGTGCTCTTGTCTTTGCAACATAGAAATCGCTATGAGACCTGCACTGACTGATATTAAACCCAGGTTTAATTTATTGTGCCAAAATATGCAGGCTCACCCATCACATTAAATTTAATTTAAAATATGTTTAACTTAACTAATTGAGTTTACTAATGTTGAAACATATACATAGAATATTTTGTTCAAAGATGTACCAAAGTTATTAATTTTTAATGATACTAAAAATAAATCTGCTATTAAAATTATCAGTGTTTCAATGCAGTTAAACAAAAGAAATTAACACCTTCTGAATCTAAATTAATCCCAACTTCGTGATGTTTTTCTACAGGTGCCCATTCTTCAGGGGGTCTTTTCAAATTTTTAAGTGCAAAATGGGGGTCGTGGACCAAAAACTTTGAGAAACACTGGTTTAGAGCATCAGTCATACCCTCTGGGTTTTTGGTTTTCAATTTTATTCTATCTGTTTCTCTCTGCACCATTTGACCAGTCGGTCTTTTGTGCAGAGTACCCTCAGGCATTTGGGCCACTCTATACACTTCTTCACTTAGTCACTTATCACGATGTCTGCTAACTTGGTAGAGGAATTTATTGACGAATTGCACAAAGTTCTTGATGAACTAAAGGGTTACTGTGCAAATAATTATAATAGCAAGTTGGGTGCTAGAGAGAGTGTATGGCATATCACAAAGCATTTCACCAAAGTCATAAACATGGCTGTCAGTTCTTTGAAAACCAACTGCACAAGTGAAATTCTCGAACAAAGATTGGCTACCCTTGCTACCAAGGACGATTTAATAGAGACAGCCACCACTCAAAATGAGAAATTTGCATTTTAAAGAGGAGATTGACAAGCTGTGTAAGGTGCAACCTCATAGCTTCTTGGGTGAGAATAAAGCTCCTACTACTAGCTATAGTGATGCCTTAAAGAGGGATATCAGGCTGCTTCAACTCGTGAATTTCCAAAGCCTATACATACTGTCCTTGTTTTTAGTGACAAAAAAGAAGAAAGCTCAGAAAAAACACAAGCATTGCTTACTGATAACATAAAGCCAATGGAGGTTGGTCTAGGGGTCCAGAGGCTTAGAAAAGTTAACAATGGCGGAGTGGTGGTAGACCTGGTGGGTGACTTTGACATGGAATTCTTCCAAGAAAAGGTAGATAAAATCCCAGGGCTGTGTGCAAAGATTGCCAAGAAGTGTCGTCCTCTGATAAAATTAGCATCTGTCCCGGCTTCTGTAGAAAGTGAAACTCTGACAAAATGCATACACGAGCAAAACGTTGACATCAACACCTTCCGGGACTACGATAATTTTGATAAACTTCAGAGCGAAATCAGAATCAGATTTCCTATCAAACAAAGAGATTCTAATTACACTACATGGGTTTTTGAGGTTCCCCCCAAATTAAGGTATATGCTGCTAAAAGAGGGGAAAATCCGTGTGGAATGGACTAGATGCCCAGTCTATGATTTTGTGCCAACAAACCAATGTTTCAGGTGCCTAAGATTTGGGCATCACACCCAGGACTGTACATTACAAACGGGTCTGTAGCCACTGTGGTAAGGATCACTTGTTCAAGAAGTGCACCAACAAAAAGGAGAACCAAGATGTGCAAACTGCATCAGAGAAAATTTTAAAGAACGTGATCATAACACCATGGATAGATGCTGTCAGGCCTACTTTAAGGGCCAAGGCCCAGGCCATTGAGCGCACTGACTATGTTACCTAACAACTTCCTTCTGGTTGTGTTTCATCTCAACATCTTTCAACTTGTCTCGTCCAGTATTCATCTGACTATAACTATGTCTATTATCCATTTTGTGTTTACTGTTACCATTACATTGTGCCCACTGTGTATCGTGCCTCACATCTTTTATTTTGTACAAACTCTTTTGTAAGTGTATTGTAATCACATATATACATATAAGGGATTGCATTCCAGTGATGTTATTGTACTATGTACCTATTTTGCCTGTGTATTTTACCTCTGTATACAATTAATTCTGTATTTTGTAACACCTTTAACTATTTGTATCTTTATTATTGTAATTTGTTACCACCGGGTAGTGCTCACTGCGGAACCCAGCATGTACCATTGTGTGCGTTAATAAAGAAATGAATGAATGAAAAAAAATGAAGATGCTTGAAAGTTGCTGCATAAACTGGATAAACTCCTTTTCTGAATTTTTCCATATTAGTAGGATGCCGTCTACATAGCATAAGTATAGTGATGGGTAGCATATAGCAAGTGCGGCGTTGAAAGTTTTGTGTTCCACGTCTCTCATAATGAGCTTGGCTAAGACTGCGGAGAGAGGGGGAGCCCATGGGAACTCCTTGCTTCTGTAAGTAGACTTTCTGGTTGAAGTGGAGATAGTTGTTTTTGGTGATGAAGATCAGCACTTCATGAATGTCTAGCACCTGTTGAAGTGTAAAACCTTTCCTGAAGAGCATAGCGTTGGCTAGCATTACGGCTTCAAATATAGGAACGGATGGGTATAGGGATATCATGTCCAGTTTGTAGAAGATGCAGGTATTGCCATGTCCTTTTGCCATGTTGAAACCAATGATGGTTTTGGCATCTATAGAGGAAAGAGTGACATACAGTGATTCCAGAAGCAGCTCTCATAGAAACTTTGCAAGGGCTTTCTCCAGGTGGTAAGTGGGATGCGACCTTTTGTTTACTAATGGTCGTAATGGCCAGTTCTTTTTATGCATTTTTGGCTGAAAAAACAGCCTAGGGCAAGCAATGTTGAAGGGAGGATCGAGGCGTCCTAGAAGTGTCAAGGTTGTTCCTGGTAGTGCTATATGATTTTCTTTGCTCTTCGCAGTACTGCTGGTGGGAAAAAGTTCGGATGATGTATGACAGAAGCTGCTTCAGTATGTGCTCCAGGATTATTTTGTGTTTTTTGTGTTAATACGAATTAGCAGTTAAAATTTTTTGGTATTTTGCGCATCGAAAGGTGGAAGGAACAATATTACGTCAAGTAGGACTTTGATCTTCACCCCTTTTTTAAATTATATATAAAAAACTGTAATTCTTCGGTTATCCAGATTTAGAGTGTTCGTTTTACCGTAATTTTTATGGGTCCTCATTGCGATCCTTATACAATAGTGGTCACCAAAAATCAGGGACCTAGACCTATTATTTATCGAGATATCGGTACCACTTCCGGTCGGCAGTCGAACACAAGTTTTGAGCCTCCGGTTAGTCCTATTGATATAACATTTGGGTGGTTATTATAGCACTTTTTAAGTAACTTTGTCGTAAAATTTTGTTAAGATTGGCCCACTAGAATTTAAATTATGGCAATTCTTAGATTGAATTCTATTTTCAACTTTCCACTTCAAACGATTGCCATGGCAAAGGTTGTTGATTTCTACAATCAACAATTCTGATTTTTCGCTTTTATTCGTTTACTTATTATTTAATATAGCATAAAGTATATATTTCTGGAATCAGGAAATTATAAGAAATTCAATTATTATACTTATAATAATTTGGGATATTTATATAGTCTGATTTTTTGCATTTTAACTGTTTTCTGTGTGATTCTTAGTATAATAGTATATATTTTATAATGGCTGATAGTTATCCTATCAACACAGCACGTAAAGCTGCAAACGAAGTAATCTCTGAGTTAAAAGATTACATTATTGAAAACTCACATTGCAAATTTTCCACAACTCGACATGCAGATTTCATACTAGACTGTATGAACAGAGTAATAAAAATATATGAAGATTATAGTGTTTATACTATGCTTAAGGAAATAAATAACAAAATTGATACATTAGGAAATAAAACTAATAACGAAGAAATTATTAGTCCTTCATACAGTACTGTGCTAAAGTCAGGAAAGGCTATTCTTCCTGCAAATCTCAATATTAGAGATAAGCCTTCAAAGGATGTCTTATTAATTTATCATAAAGAAGATAATATAAATAGTGAAAATATGCGGGAAATTATACAACAGCATGTTAACCCTATTGCGCTAGGTATCGGTGTCGAAAGAATACGGCGTATAGGTGGTGGAGGAATTGCAATTCATCTAAATAACAAGAATGATTTAAACAAGCTGGAGAAATGTGTGCAGGAAACAATCCCTGAACTTGTTACTAGAAAACCTAAAAAGCGGAACCCCCACGTAGTGCTTTATTCTGTACCTGTACAAATACGACGTGAAGAGTTACTAGATCACATATATGAACAAAATTACATTATTCATGAAAACTTCTCAGATACAGAATTTAAAGAACAATTTAAGATAAAATTTAGAATGGGACGTAAAGATGCGCAATTTATTAACTGGGCAATAGAAGTATCACCACAGATACGAAAATATCTATTAATGATGGGGAAAATAAATTTGCAATGGTCGCGATGTCGTGTTCAAGATTTTTGTTCGATCATGCAATGTTTTCGTTGTTGCAAATATGGACATTCAACAAAATACTGCGAGCAGGAAGTTCCAACATGCAGTCAATGTGCTGGAGAACACACATACAAACAATGCCCTAATAAAAATAACGAGCCTAGATGTGTGAGGTTTGCCGACGTTGAAGGGGGAAAAAGTCTATCTCGTGTCAGAATGAGCCTAAGGGAAACCGCGTATGTGGGCGGTGGCGAAGGAGGCAAATGATGCACAAGTGTTTTACAAAATAAAACCCGTTTATTTGTTCGAATTCATGCTTACATCGATATAGGATAATTCCAAAATTTCGGTGCTCCTGGGAACGGCGAAAGTTCGTGATCTCGGTCGCAGTTCGGGCGGACGAGAAGGATATCCGGACAAAGCAGAAGTTCGTTGTTTCGTTGCGGTGTCCTCGGTGAGCGGCGGATGCACAACACAATTTTTCACCACTGTAGGTTTAATCCGGAGGAGACTCTTCTTCGACCTTGAAGTTCCGATTTTTATAGTTTTTCCCCCACTGTTCGCATTTCGGATTGGTCCCTCGTCCCATTCCTCGCTTCCCGATTGGTCTCTCCTTTGTCTCCAGGTGCAAGACGAAACTTTTCGGGTTGCGGGAAAGGTCCGATTCGAGGTGTCCATCTGATAC